TAAATAAGACCCCCACACCAGACCCCAAACCCTAGCCGCTTGCCCTCGCCGGAGAAGACGAACCAGAAGCCGGCCGCCGCCACCCGCCGCCGCACCGGAGGGATTTCCGACCGCCGATCGAGGTAAATTTCATACCCCCGACTCATTTTTCCACGCTGATTTTTCCAGTGGCCAAATCGGAGCCAAAATCCTGGCCAAACGGCCGGAAAACACGACCGAAAGCCAGTGGCGCCACCACGCCCCTCCTCGGTTTTTGCCTCCGATGAGGCCCTTCCCGGCCTCCGTTTAATACAATTTTTATATCACCGTGATCACCATTCTTTTCTCTACAGGTTGATCGGAGCTGAATCACCAAAACACGAACTTCACCGGAGAGCCACCGCACCCGAGAGCACCGCCGCCGGTAAGCTTCAGTTTTCCGTAAATTTTCGGCCCCCCGAGGGCCGTAGGGTTGTTTTATCGCAGGAACCAATGCGAGTGTGGCCGAATTCAGTCGTCAACCCAAGGCGAACCGCCGCCGTGCCGGAGTTACGATATTGGCCGAAAGGGGCCCTGGGCCTAATTTTGGATTTTTTGGAACACGTGCAGGTACCAGTAGTGCGTTTCAGTTCCCCGGGAAAAATTCAGGAAAAATTGGGGACAACTTGTAGGCGCACTGTGAAGCCGTGTTCGGACCCCGAAACGAGTAAGGACCCCTCACCCTATTTCCTATCACGGTATTAAAGTTCAATAAATGATAAAAACGGTATTTCATGAATCAATGAATGTGTGAAATTGCTTAAGGTCGCTAATGGAGCCCGAGTCTAGTGTGTTTGTCGGTTAACTGTTATTTGGCCTGTTTATAGTTTTAAAAGCAGTATGAGATTTGATGTTTTCATTTTATAGTTTCGTGTGCATATTTTACTGTTTTATTGATTATGGATTGAATGACTGGGATATTGATCCTGTATGTTGTCTGTTTGGTATAAATTACCGTTTTGCTTGTTTGTATGTGATTGATGATACTGACTGAGGAAAAAAAAAAAGAGAATGAAAGATTATGTAAATGGGTAATTGTATAATGTGGTCAGTCTGACTGGATATCCTGGGAGATGGTGGACGGACCGGGTCCGTAGGGAATCCTACCGGGATTGTGGTCTCCCATACCGGACGGGGTATGGGGATGGCCCGTTTCACCCTCATACCGGACGGGGTAATGAGGTTTATAGTTTTGGCGCCCATACCGGACGGGGTATGGGGACGGCCCTGGAATACGATTTCAAGTGTTAAGGGTTAATGGGTAGCGGGACCCCTATGGATCCCCATGGATACTAGTGGGCTGGTAAATGAGGAAAATATATTGTGTAACGATTGAATTTCGAAAGGCTTGATAAGTATTACGTTATACAGTTTATATATGATTTCATGATGATAATGATGTTATTGTTTTCGTATATTGTCTTATGAATTTCACCGGGTAAGTGAATGGTAAAGGTTTTATTATTGATAAAATGTTTTGTTATAAATTATGCTCCATTGGTCTTTTTGTGTTTTCTACCCACCTTTACCTCTGTGACGGTGAGATATCGTGATGTCTTTACTGGGTTAGTGTAGCTCATTCCTTATTTAATCATTTCATATCAGGAAGACCTTGTTCCCGAGCCAGTTCTGCAGGAGGACGACGAAGGGGACGCCTAAAGACTCCATAGCCATATTTGTAGCTTTTACTTTCAAGTTTCTCCTTTAGGTAGTTTGATCTTTTATATTGTGAGCACGTTTTTGGTTTTAGTGTAAGAGATGTTAATCGAATTTTTGACTTCGCTTCCGCATTTGATATTTTTAATATACATTCCATTATGAATTTCCGGGGCTGTTACATAAATGGTTTTACTTATAATAAATAAATTTACTTAAATTAAGAACTCTATTAGTTGTTTTTATGATTTTTGCCAACCTTCATTTCTGTATCGGTGAGTAATGTGATATTTTTACTGATCTAGTGTAACTTACTCCTTCATTCACTATTTCAGATCAAGAGGACCAAGACCCTGATCTCAATCAACAAGAGGGTTGTGAATAGTTCACCACCCGGACTCCCTTCAAAAACTAGTGAAGGTCGTCCTAAGATATTTAATTGTTTACTTTTCATTTATTTCTTGATTTTTCACTTGTTCTTTTAGAATGATCATTTACGTAGCCCTATTGGGTATTCTAAATTATTATGTAAGAAATGTAAACTCTAACTCTATTATTTCGTTTTCACATTCAATTTATAATTTATTTCCTTTTAAGTTTCGGGTTATTACACCACTTTTTATATTGTTAAAGAAAAATTTAAGATTATAATTCACTTTTTGTGGCGAATATATTATGATGTTATTGAATATGATAAAGAGAATAATAAGACCTTATTTATTGTTTAAAAAACTAAACTATATTAGTAATATAAGTCATTGTTCTATTTAATGAACGAGTTGTTGCAATTTATTTTATAAATTTTTAAAATGTTATTAAAATAATTATTTATTAAAAATATTTTTATTCAAAAATTATTTTATATTTAATAAAAATAACTATAAAAAATATTGTCATTATAAAGAAGAATAAATTTTATTTTTTGATAAAATTTAATTTTAAAATTTCAATTGTAAATTTTTATTAAAAGGTAAGTTCATTTTCTAAAAGTTATAAATTAAAGATTTTATGTTTAAACAAATTAAAAATAGATTTATACTCTAGTTTTTGTCAACAATATTTTTATTTTATCCATTAGTTATAAGATTATTTTGCGAATGTAAAAAAGAAAAATAAAAAATTGTCAAACAGGTTCTTATTGTCTATTTTTTCAATATATTAATAGGATATAAGATTCAAACTCGAACTATTAATTTTTTTATAAAAATATTATATCATTTAAACTTAAATATTACATAAATTTATTTGGTACTATACAATGTTTATTCTCTTATTCAACTATCTTAAACATAAATAATTTAATTTTATCTATATTAGTTTATTTTTTGTAACTCTATTATATTTTATCCTATTTCATTACCAAACATGAGCCATAATCATCTCAGACAATAAAGAAAATAATTAATTCACAACTATTACACAAAATAATTTTCCACTCCCTTCCTATGCTAACTATATTTTAATTATCAATTATGTCAAACTACATTTCTCATTCTCATTTTAATCCATGAATACACACTATTTTTAGATTTTTTTACTTAGCAATCAAGAATTCATGTAGTGAATCTTGTTTAGTCAATTACGTTTCGTTCATATTAAATTTTTATTCTTTCTATTTTAACTTTTTGTATCATTTTTATTATTAAGTATTAAGGTACATTTTTTAAGAAAATCTTTCACAAAGCTTATCATCTTTCTCGGTCATTCATTCATATTTTTGTAGCTAAAAAATAATGTATGTATATTTTCAACCTACAACCAATGAGAATTTAGTTATGTGTATATTTGACTAGTAAATAGATGTTTTTAATACTTTTAAAAATATTAATTGGATAGCATATTCTTTTCTTTGAGAAGTTCGGTGTAAATTGGAAAAAAAAAATTAAGAAATTTTTTTATAAAAATTAGAATTTCTAACATTTTAGTTTTTTCTTTTTCCAAATTAATCACTCATTGATAAGTTGAGTTGAAAGGTGAAGAAAATAAAGTTAGAAAAAAATATATTCAATGGATTATGTTTAGATTTTTTTGAACAAAGAGAATTTTAAATGAAGCATATAAATCAACTTGGTAATTATGTATATTCATAAAAATGTGTACATTTTAAAAATAAATAAATTGACAGAATAATTTTAAAAAATAAAAATTATGACGTAATTGTGACAATTAAAAGATGAATTACCAAATTAAAAATATTACAAAAATTTTCAGTTTAAATCATAATTATTTTTTTAAAATACATCTAAAAATATTGAATAAAACATCTTATCATTAAATGCCAAGTGTATCCCACCGAGATTGAAGACATAAAAGGTGATTGTGAACATCAATTATTCAATGAACACACTAATTACTTAGAATAATAATAGTGAGTTGATTGAATGTTAAAAAAAAAAAATTTATCTAAGTGCTTCAAAATTATAAATGAGGTGATAAATTTTATAAATATAATTAGTATATTTTTAAAATTTATTTTTTTATTAGTTGAACAAAAATTTAAATAATTAAATTAAATTTATAAAATATTATCGATTTATTTATACTCTCGTATAACAAAAATAATAATTAATTAAAAAAAAAAAAGCAAATGAGAATAATGGAAGAGCTCGAAGTTTGGAGAAAACTTGTGAATGACTGAAAATTTGCATTATCAACTCATCCATGAAAAAGCAAAAGAAGAAAGAGTGGCAGCCATTGATTTCCATCACAAAGAAACCTACGACCAAAAGATTCGAGCTCACCAAATACTTTATGGGCATGATTTATTAGGTTCTTTTTTAAGGTGGTGAAACTCCACTTTTCAAAATAAAAAGTTGAAACAAGATTATCTTCTCTGCTTTATCCGGGATTCCACATGTCACAACAATGTTTATTTTTCAAGAATATATATATTCTTATAACAGAAACTTATAATATATATATATATATATGGGGATATATATATATATAATACAATAAGGAGATGGTATGAGAGGAAATTGGATAGGCTCTGAAAACAAAAAACTTTGCATGAGATGGCAACTGCAGATATGAAATTATTCTTCAAGCTCTTGTGCTACTTTTGCATGATTGCTGCAGCTGCTTTGGACACTCCTGGTAGAAATTTCTTCCCTGTATTTCTCCTTTCTCTCTTCCTTGTTTTGGCCTTGATTCTACCCTGAATATTATCTGATATTTGCACATATATAATATGCCTCCCTCCTAATTTCAAGAGGGGTGATTTGTATAAAACTAAAAGGATCATATGCTAAAAGGATTCCTTGTATAACCTTCAAAAATTTCACCTTTATTATCATGCCATCAGCCCTGTATCAGAAGACGGATCTGGATGCAGAGACATGAAACCCGAGCAATAAACAAGATCATAATCATCGGTCTAATTAGTTACTTCAGTGGTTTCATATACACTTTGAAAAGGAAAGAAGAAAAGCAACTATTTTTTAGTTCTAATAAAATTCCTTGGGGAATTGGAGGATCAGGCAGAAAATTCTTTTAGTCAGAATTTTGTTGCTGAATCCCGTTTTAATAGATTAGACATCCCAATTTTCTTTCACAGTGCTGCTATCTTTAGGTAATAGCACTGTTAAAGAAGAAAATATCAGCAAGATCTGGTCACTGAACCATTATCTTTATAGGTTCTTTTCTACTTTTTCATTTTTTTTTAACCTTGATTAGTCAAACCAAGGTATATATATGTATGCTATTGAAGACTCAAGCAGTTATAGTAGTAGGATTTTCTGCCGAATCTCATCCCGCGAATCTGATTACACACTGCACCACTTTCTTTTGCACAACAATGCAATATGTATAAATCTGGATACATAAACGTCGTATATTTATGATTAACATATACATATATATATCCTATCATCCAAAACTAATGCATGTATATTATCACAAAATCAATCCATCATCAAAATTTTAAGTTACAGATAAATGAGTTATGCTTCCTGATAACAGATATAATGGCCAGACATACCCTAACAAGATCCTACTCAGATCATTTTCAGGAAATTAGTTTGGAAGACCAAGGTATACAAGAAACTAGCAAACATGTTTTCAGTGACAAAGGAAATGCCAGAAAGAGCATAATTCCCATCACCAAATTTTCACACAGCACTGGAGGAGGTGGTGGTAATGCTGGTGGAATAGGGGGAACAGCCAACAATGGAGATAATGGAAGATCAGGGTCATCTTCTACACAAGGAGGTACAGCAGTCATCCCTGTATATGCAGCTGGTGCAGCAAATAACCACCACCAGAAAGTCCATCACAGCCCCGGTAGCTGCAACCAGAATAGTGTAGGAGTGTCTGTTATCACTCTGTTACCTCTCTTTATACAGCTATACATATAACTAAACCAATCTATTTATTTTTACAAGTACAAATGGAACGTAAAACTTTAGCCGTTCTAAGCTGTCTAAACCAATCTCTGTAAATGTCTTAAGACTTGTATTTGTGTTTTTTTTTCTTATTTTGAGTTCAATAATCTGTAATAGATTTTGTGTGATTAATAAAGAAGTTTTATTGCTTATTCTTCAATGAAAATATAGATGAAGTTCTGATCCAACACCAACATGAGCTTTTTCTTTTTTTAATCAAATCAATTCTGATAAAAATAAGTACTGCTAACTAAGAACTTGACTTAGGCTGAAGTTGAACTAATGAAAGAACAAATCTACCTAGGAATTCTGGAAATTTTTTTTGTCGCTGCTAACACTTGCAGACACTATAAATAATTCCCTAAAAAAAGAAGAGAATATTAATATAAAAGAAAACTGAAACATAGTCAGGAGTTGTTACCTTTCTAATGTTTCACATTTTGATTTCATGATTAGTCTATCTGGTACCTTTTTCTGAGATGCTTCTAAATCAATATGGCAAGCAGACTCTCTCTCAGAGCGCTTCATGAGAAATACAAGTAAGCAAGCAGATTCCGAGCACTAGTGCTCCCAATTATAGAAGGCCTTTACTGCTTTGCCACTCCAAAATCCACCACAATACCATAAGAGAATGTGATGCAGGTGAATAAATGCCAACTTGCTATACATAAAGTAAATTTTCAAAGGTTCCCAAATATATCATTGATTTAAGTATGCAAACACTGAATAGTGATATCAGTCTATACAAATTAGTAACCAATATAAAACTAAATGGAAATCCAATCAGATGAGTGTCTATCTGAATCTTGGGAGGACTTAAGATAGCCACAACAAATAGTGATAGAACTTTTCTGTTAAAAATGAGTTAATTGCTCAAGTTTACGAGTCTGGAAAAACTTGCAGCATCCTTTACCACTTGATTCAATTTCTTCACTCTTCCTCTTGGATGTGGTGAACCCAACACTGCTTAGTTTCAGCTGTCGCTTGCCATTGCCACTGCTAGAACCATCTTCATCAACTTTATCGGCTTCCCTGTAAATGAAATCTATAGTTAAACACACTTACTAGGATCTCCTTATCCATTTTCAGGACCATTATCCAGATTACACGATTCAGTTCTTCATACATTTCAGAAAGCAATCCCTGGAAAATGATGATATAAGCTTCCTATACACAGTATATATATATCTCTTCCAAAATTAGGTAGAAAGAACAGGAAGCTGGCCTACCATATACTGAGTTGGTAACTAACAATTCATTTCCATGTGTTCATGGTGGCATGGAAACTTATATTAATTTCTAGGGATTGGAGATAGAGTAAATATAGTAGTGGTATGCTATATACAAAATCTATACTCCCTTTAGCTATAAGAAACAAACATTGGATTTTCTTGATATCCTAAGACAAATGGCACAATCATGAACAACTTTTCATTAAAGCAATCAATTGGTTTTTATTTACAAAGAGAAGGTAAAAATGGAAGAGAGACAAGTGAACTGAACTGTAACACGCTCCAGAAAAGGGCCCTTCCCTGTTATTGAACCTGTCGTTATGAGGTC